TAATACAGTTCTCATACTCACTGTTCTGAATATTGACGTCAGGTCATGAAACTTGGAAATTGAACAACTGTCTACTAGCATTACGTTTCATTAGGAAGCCGGACATCATTTCAGTTGTATTTGTTTTGTTTTTGGGGTCAGGTTGCATATGAAGATTTTGTCTCTGCTGGCTCTCTAGCCGCAGCAAGAGAGAAAGGACTTGTGAGTTTCTTCCCCTATATCCATAAAATGAGCTCTATATATATCATTATGATTCTCTTGACTACTCGGAAGTTTTCTTGATAATTATTTGTTTGTCTTTGTTGTGCAGTTGAGATCAGAGGGGAAAGAGTACATTGTTAAAGAAGGAGATGTGATGCTTTTCCGCTTCAACGTATAACAGAACGCTGAGAACTCAGTCATTTTGTTCACAGAAAATCACAGGTTGCGTTTCTGCACGTCCTCTTTTATAGCATCGAAGGTTTCATTGCTCTTGGTTTCAAAGAATACAGTGGATATCTTTGTTTCATTTTTACACTCCGAGAAAGTAATTTGTTATTAAAACAGAAGATGAGATGTATTAGTTCTCTGTGAACAAGCAATCTCATGAGACTGCCAATTGGAGTTTTATCCAATTTTTATGTGAAATGACACCGATCATATATATGAATCTCTTGTATTCTTCTATTTACGGGTAGTTTGACTGAATTTTTTTATTGACAGCAACAGATGCAAGAAACTGGGTTTGATGCCTTTTTTTTCTTTTGCTGTACTACACGAGTAAAGCCAAAGTACAAGTGCTAGAGAATGTAGTCAGAATACAAGAATCAGACATAATAGAGAAACCTCACTAGGGAATCAGAAACGCAGCAACATTACGTAATACAGAGAGATCTATTCTTTTCTACTGTTACAACCACATTGAATGCACCACTCTACTAAGGGACGCGTATTCTTCGATTGTTCAATCTCACTGTGTTTACCGTGTTCGACGATTTCAATAACATAATCAACAATCTCTGAAACATAACAATAACCTAAGACATCTATATTCCCCTGTAAGTATAACCCTAACGACTTGTCATGGATACGACCATCTCAAGAATCCAAATAGCATATATGAGTTTAAATAATCTAATAGAAAACAGAAGAAAAGAGGTGCAAGAGTAAAATATATGCGAAGATAAACAAAGCAGTTCTCAACTAAGGGCAAAACAACATTGAGGGGAGGGAGAGAGATGAAAGTCATCAAAACACCAAAATAGTAAAACAAATAACAAAAACAAAAAATACAGCAAAGTGAGGTCAAACGTGACCAAGAGTAGCGAGTGAGACAAACGAGGAGATGCTGATTACAGCTTGTCTTCGAAGTCCGACAGTGGAGTCATCTGCTCCTTCATACCCTTCCTCTTCCTGATGTCAGCAACCAACGTTGAAGCTTGAGATCCTGCCTCCAGAGGATCAGACGACATCATCTCCCAATGATCAAACACACACTGAGGGAAGGCCTGTCCTGAGGTTGCAGCCCTAAGCTGACTCGAGAATCCAAATGACTCCACGACCGGCAAGTACGCCTTGATGTTGTACAGCGGTGTTCCTGGCCTCTGCATCTCCTCAAACACGTGTCCACGCTTCTGATTCAGCACACTGTAGATTCCTCCAAGAGCTCCCTCTGGTGCTTGGATCTCAACCATGTAAACCGGCTCCAACAATCTGGGCTTGGCAGTGAGCTGGGAGGCGTAGATAACCCTCCTCGCTGTTGGGATAACCTGACCACCACCTCTGTGGATAGCATCAGAATGGAGCACCACATCACAAACCTCAAAGCAGATTCCTCTCATGTTCTCATCACACAGAGGACCTTCCTTGGACGCCCACTGGAACCCAGCAACAACTGAATCCTTGATTTCATTAAGGTACTGCACTCCCTTACACATGTCAACAACCATGTTGGGGCCTGTGGTTTCAGGTCCGAACGCCCAGATCTTCTTTGCAAGATCCTTGTCCCAGCCGAACTCCTCTGCCAAGATCTTGGATCGGATCTTAGGGTCATCTCTTGGGCCAATACGGCCTTCATCAATTGCCTCTGCTAGACCGTCTTCCAAGGGTCTGGCCTCCATGTAAAGACGGTTATGCTTGTTAGGAGACTTGCTCATCACAGTACGGACGGATCTCTCCAGGACAGTCTCACGGAAGGAGACGACAGGGTCTGACTTAACGATCTCAGCCCCACCCATGAAATCATCCTGAAGATCCTTGAGACAAATCTCAAGATGGAGTTCTCCAGCACCAGCAACGATGTGCTCACCTGACTCTTCCATTGTGCACACAACCATAGGGTCTGACTTGGCAAGCCTCTTGAGTCCTTCAACAAGTTTGGGAAGGTCAGAAGCCACCTTGCACTGAACAGCAACACGGACAACAGGGGAGACGGAAAACTTCATGGCACGGATAGGGTGGGCATCAACTTCTTTCTCATTGGTTAGGGTAGCATTCTTGGTGATGAACTGATCAAGACCAACCATAGCAACAGTGTTACCACAGGGGACATCCTCAACAGTCTCTTGCCTCTTACCCATCCAGATGACAGTTCTCTGGACACTCTTGACGTACAGGTCTTTCTTCTCACCAGGAACAAAGTTGGGACCCATAATCCTGACCTTCATACCAGTAGACACTTTACCAGCAAAGACACGACCAAAGGCAAAGAATCTACCCTTGTCTGAGGCGGGAATCATCTTAGAAACGTAGAGCATGAGAGGACCATTAGGATCACAGTTTCTGATGGCAGTGGCATACTGATCGTCGAGGGGACCTTCATACAAGTTCTCAACACGGTACCTCTGTGCAGTGTGGGGAGAAGGAAGGTGAAAGATCATCATCTCAAGTAGTGCAGTACTTGCGGGGAGCCATGTCTGCATGACACGCTTCATCAAAGGTTTACCCATGAGCTCCTTCTCATCAGACTTCATCTGGACACCAAGCTTTTGCAACATAGGCCACAACTTGTCCTTCTGGTCGTTCATGCAAGTGGCAATGATTTGCTTGATGGGCTCATAACAGAACTGAACAAACCCACGCTTGCAAGTGGCGGAACCAGTGTTTTTGCTGCTCCACTTCCTGGTGGCAGGGTCAAAGAAATTCTCACCCCAAAGCCTCTCCATCATTTTAGTTTCATCAACACCAAACTTGGAAGCGTACATCTTAGCGAAGTTGGTCAGAGTGAAAGCCCATCCGTGGAGACCAGCAGAGAAGGCAACGGTACCCTTCTCAGGGTAAACCTGAACATCACCAAGGAGAGGATCCTCATACGTAGCCATGATGACATTAGCATTCTCAATGACCCTCTGGAAAGTCTGGTAAGCCTCCTCACCGTCAACCTGAAGCTCAAGGAAACACCTGTCCATCTTGTTCACGGTCAGAACAGGCCTAATCCTCTCACCGAGAGCCTGACGTAGCACAGTCTCGGTCTGCACACAGACACCCTCGATACAGTCGACCACCACAAGAGCACCATCGGTAATACGGAGAGCAGCAGTGACCTCAGAAGAAAAGTCAACGTGCCCAGGAGAGTCAATGAGATTGATAAGGTACTCGTTTCCATCTCTGGCACCAGTGAAACTCTTCAAGGAAGCATCAGTCATCTCATAGTAGAGAGAAATACCGGTGGACTTGATAGTGATACCACGTTCAGCCTCATCAGCACGAGTATCAGTCATACGGACATCACCAGCAACTTCTTGGGCAATGATACCAGCAGCAGCAACCAAGGAGTCAGTGAGGGTTGATTTACCTGTGGACAAAAATAAAAATTAGATATTAGCTTAATCATATGTCCAAAGAGAACACCTCAAAGAGCAGTAAATAATTAAAGTTGAAAGAGAAAGCTTCGAACTGAAAAATAAAGGATGAAGAGAGTTACCATGGTCGACATGGGCAATAACGGACATATTACGGATGTTGTGTTTGTAGTCCATAATCCTACGAAGCTCATCAGCTGTGAACTTCACCTGCAAGTTTATAAAAATAATATATTTTCAGCTTTGGAATCAAAAACAGGAATAAGGGATATATAGTTCAAATATAATGAAACACGAAGGCTTACCATTTTGAATTATTTTACTTGACACCTACAAAATTTCTGCAATTACAGAAACAAGAATTAGTCAAAATGAAATAAAACGATTAAAAACACAGTAAGAATAGGCTTATTGATAAATTCAGTTATATCCTAGGCAATAAAATCGTAGATACAACAATATATCGGCACTATTACACAAAATAGACTAATGCAGCAATGGAGTATAATTTCCATATGATATATACCAGAGAACAAAAAAAAAACCATCCGATTCACAATATTACTTGTATAATATCAAGCTTACAATCAAGAAGTAGTTTGAGATCTTGTCAGAGATCCATCTTTAAATGGTTTCTTAGACCAGATCTTAAGAAACAAGAGTAACAGAACAATAAAAACTGTAGCAATCACAGCAACAATCAAGAACGACAAACAACGGTATTGCTCATCTAAACATCGACATCTAAAACTATGCAGATCGAATATGCAGATCGAAAACTATGCAGATCGAATACAAATAAACATCAAAGATCGGATAAAGAGACTTTTAACACGTAATAAAATTGACAAAATAAAATATCGAAGAAACGGACTGACCTTAGAGGTGAACGAAGGGAAGAGAGAAAAGAGGTGCAAAGAGGCGTTAAAGCAGTCGGAAGCTTAATATATAGTCATGAACGAGATGCCAAGAGTATATGCTTTTCTCATCTAGGGTTTCGCCCTTTTCGTGATCCTTAGTGGGCCAATTACCTTCGGCCCATAATTAAAATTTTGTTCTATTTATTACAAGCAAAACTAATTTTCAGAAGCCTTTGAGAGTGCGATAATACACGCTTCGGTTCTCCAAAGTAAAATTAAAACAATCAAAACTTAAAACATCAACAATCTTAGAGCATCTTTATCGCGGCGTTTTAAGCCGGTTTCTAGGGTATTTTGATTTAAAAAAAAAAAAATACGCAAATACAGAAGAAACTTAGTTGAATTAGGAGGTAGATGAGACGGGTTTTATGTGACACGCCTCACACATTCACGCTTCTTCTCTCTCTTTTGCCAGATTTTCTTTCTTTGATTCTCTCTCGACTCCAAGACTACACCGACTCTCTGTAGTCCTCTCTCCTCGACGGTCCTCACCTCTCTCTCGACCCCTCTCGCCGGCATCTCTGTATGTGGTATCGTTGTTTCTATCGGTCTCCTCGACCACTCCGCTTCTCTCGGTGTCCTTGACGGCTCCGTGTCTCTTTCGCTATCCTTGAAGACTTTGCTTCTGTCTCAATCTCCTCGATGGCTGACCTTGATGAAGAATTCCTCCCACCTCTCTCTCCGGCCCGTGGTTTTCATCGACGAAATTGATTCAAAGGTAAAACTATGTATTTGTCCTTTATGTCTTTGTCTTCGATTCAACAGATGATGATGTCTCTTTTTCTTGTTTATATATCTATGATCGGTTTAGATTTCGTAAAGATGTAGTCTCGAATGAATTGCAAAACAGGATTGTGTTCTGAATTTGTTATTATGTTAAGTTTGTTCTGTGCTGACAAAAAAATAATATTAGTTTGTTTTGTTGATTGTGTCTATTGTGTTTATTATGGGTGGTGATTACTACTTGTGTATGTGTTTGTGTAAAGACAGAATATTATGTCACGGACTTGATGAGCGATGATGCTTTCGTTCTATATAAGTTTGTAAACACCAAAGCTTAAGTCACGTTTGTTCTTTGTTTGCATACAATTCAGTCTTGTTCTTTCTTTGTTATTTCTTTGCATACAAACTTTTATTTGTCTTTTTATGTCTTTGTTGATTATGTCTCTTGTTTTCGAAACTAGGAGCAAAGAATGCTTGGGATATGCTTCACAAAGGGGAAGCTTTGCCGCGCATTACTACATCTTCTTCTGATCTTGGGAGGTGGAATCAGCTGCAGGGATGTTACAGAGATTGGTAATCCATCTCGTTTACATAGATTGGTAGCAACAAGTGTTTTGAATCTTCCTCTTAATTCTCTGCAGGTGGAGTATCCGGTATTGTAAAGACTCAGATTGGCAAGTGTTTGTCTACTGACTCCTTTTTATAAATAAGATTGAAATAAATGGAGTTGCAGGACATTGCGTTATTTTCCCTGTAAGTTCCAAACTTTATGCTTTGATTTTCATCTCTTTATGATACAAAGGCTGAACCTTTTAGCTTCGGTAATAAATTTTTTATGGTTGTGTAATTGGTTGATAGAGAACTAAGGTGTAGTTTGTTGAATGTGTTTGAAATCGATAGAGTTGTGTTGTGTAGTTGGTAAATAGAGAACAAAGGTGTAGTTTGCTAAATGTGTTTTAAACAACAATTTTTAAAAACCCTAAATAAGAGACTTGCATTGAAGACCTTAAAATGTTAGGTCTTTTAAGTATGTCTCTTAACCTACTATTTACTACTAATATTATTAAAAAAGTATTAAGAGACCCATTTTGAGTCTTTGGGATAATGATGCTCTTACCGTTTATATATGTCAACGTTGGTTCGAGATTGCGATCTTATCGAAGCATGACGTATCAATTTGTATAATAAACACTTACTTTTCTTTTACATAAGGTCTTGACTAGATTTCGCGCAGAAAATTTTTATGACTAAAAAATTTATATAATTGGCTTTTGTCTTAATTTAAAGAACTTTTTGATATAAAACCAGTTCACCAAAATTTGTGGTGATGATTGTTTTTCATTAGTTTTTAGTTTCAGTTTTTATTTTTAGATTTTGTTTTAGATTTTGGTTTTTAATTTTTAAGTTTCTATTTTTGATTTTCAGTTTGAGTTTTAAATTTTTAGATCCGCAGAGTTAGTTGAGCTGATATTACCAACAAACAAATCATAAATAATCGAACATCTAATTTAAAACTGAAAAGATAACAAAAATATTTAAAAAAAAAATTGCAATAGTTTATTTTGGGGAAAATTGCATAAAAATAATGAAGTTGGCAAAAGTTTGCACTTTAAACCTTGAGGCTCAACTGGTAACACTTTAAACAATGAAACTTGTAATAATAACATATTAAACATCGAACTAACTTAATTGTTGCACACGTCAAAATTGTGACCTGTTACTGTTCACTAACAGGTAAAAAACGGTGACGTGGCAGTTTACCTAAAAAAAATTAATAAAAACACATAAAATTAGATAAAAAATCAATATAAATTCTAAAATTTGATATAAATTCAGGAAAAAATAAAGAAAAAAATAAAATTCAGAAATTTTAAAACATAAAAATAAATTTATAAATTTAAAAGTTTATAATAAAAATAAAAATAATTAGTAAAAATATTTTAAAACTAACAAAATAGTAAAAATTAAAAAAAAAAGAAAAAAAATGTAAAAATCGATAAAATAGAAAAAGGGAAGTTATAAAAAGCTGGAAAACAAATAAAAATTCAAATATCAAAATATTAAAATTTAAAATGAAAAGTAGTTGACCCAAACCTCTTTGGTGTTTAGGTAGACATATAAGCGTTCATATGTCCGGGTTCAAATCCATAAGATCCTAGAGATTTGGATTCAAAACTTTTGCCAATTTCATGGGTTTTTTCCAAATTTTCCACTTTCATGGTTTTCTTTTTTTTCCATATTTTTTAATCAATTTGTATAATTTATTTTTGTTATTATTATTATTTTCTTGAATTATTAAATCTATTTTTTCTTGATCTTTATTAGTTTTCAATTTAAGTATTATAATTTTTTTAATTTTTGAATTTTTATTTTCCCTGATTTTATTAAAATTTCCAATTTTTATCGACCTTTTTGAAATTTTTTTATTTTTTTATTTTTTCCAAAATTTTTCCAAATTTTTATAAATTTCCTCTTTTCTAATTTTTATCGATTTTTACAATTTTTTAATTTCTTTTTTTTTAACTCTTTTGTTAGTTTTAATCAATTTTTACTATTTATTTTTATTTTAAACTTTTGAATTTATAAATTTATTTTTATTTTTTGCATTGCCATTTATTTATTTTCTTTATTTTTCCTGAATTTATATCAATTTTTAATTTTATTTATTTATTTGTATCTAATTTTATTTGTTTTTATTATTATTTTTTATATAAACCGCCACATCACCATTTTTTACCTGCTAGTGAACAGTAACAGGTCACAATTTTTACGTGTGCAATAAGTAAGTTAGTTCGATGTTTAATATGTTATTGTTACAAGTTTCATTGTTTAAAGTGTTAGTGATTGAGTCTAAAGGTTTAAAGTGCAAACTTTTGCCAATTTCATGATTTTTTATGCAATTTTCCCGTTTATTTTGTAAATAAACAAAAGAAAAAATATAACATGCGTTTTCAGCTTTTGGTTTTGAATTTTAGCTTTTAGATTTGGTTTTTGTTTTGGTTTTGCTCTATATTTATTTTTTTAAATCAGTAAATTATTTCAGAAAAATAAAACAATAAATTATTTTAAAAGTTACCATTGAAATTTATCAAAACAAAGTGACTGTTATTTAAAATAAAAAATAAATTAACATGTTTTAAATTACATGATTTAAATAAATGATTAATAATAGACAATTTTATTTTGTTAAGAATATTAAATACCTTTGGACCTGAAAATAATAATTGATTTTTTGCTCCATTAAGGTGAAAAGTTTAATCAATGTTTTTGGAGTTTTTCCTTAATAATAAGCCCAAAAAACAAATCATATAATTTGTCCTAAAAAAAGTAAGTCCAAGACTATATCCCATAAATAGCCACCGATTTGATTTAAGTAATGCAATTCAGTTAACTATATGGCTTGTATTATTTGTAACACTCTAGAAAGGGTACAAATATAAACGATAACTTGTATTAGTAGATAAAAAACTATATATTTAATAGAGTAGATTTCAGCTTTTGGTTTTGGATCTTAGTTTATTAGATTTGGTTCTTTGTTTTGCTTTACATTTATTTTTTAAAATCAGTAAATTATTTAATAAAAATAAAACAATAAATTATTCTAAAAGTTACCATTGAAAGTTATCAAAACAAAGTGATTGTTATTTAAAATAAAAAATACATTAAGATGTTTTAAAGTATATGATTTAAATAAATGATTAATAATAGACAATATTTTTTTGTTAAAAATATTAAATACATTTGGGCCTGAAAATACTAACTGATTTTTGATCCATTAATGTGGAAAGTTTAATCAATGTTTTTTGGAGTTTTTCCTGAATACTAAGCCCAAAAACCAAACCATATAATTGTCCGAAAAACAAAAGTAACTCCAATACTATATCTCATAAATAACCACAGGTTTAGTTTAAGTAATGCGGTTCAATTAATTATATGGCTTATATTATTTGTAACACTCTAGAAAGGGTCCAAATTTAAATGACAATCTGTATTAATAGATAAAAAAAGAGTTTATTTTAATAGAATAGTTCGATTTGATAAAACAAGAGGTGTCAAAAATAACTCATGGGTTGACCCAATCCAAATTAATTTATTAATCCAAATAATTTTTTTTATCTAGTAGATTAATCTCTATAATATTATTTGAGAAATCACTTTCTTAGGTGTCGCGCTCACGTTAACTCTAACGCTGGTTGATTACTATGATACCCCTAATGAATTAAAAATATTTAAATATTATTATTTCCTTTTTAAAATCTTCCAAATAACAATATAAAAAAAAAAGAAAATATATCTAAAATTTACAAAACTATTTAAAAATGAAAAATAAGTATATATACAATATGGTTTCATAAAAAAAGAAAGTTTACAAAATAGTAATATTTTACTTAATTATTTCATGTATATAATGTATTTTCATAAAATAATTTCATACAAATAATCTTGATATTAGAAAAAAATACTTTTTCTTTAAAAAAATAATTTAAACAATAAAATATATATTTTCAAAGTAATTAGTTTTTGTATATATCTATCTATTTTATTAGATGATTACATAAAATAATTAAGTAACATAAACTGATATATGTTTAATTGAAAAAAAAATTATAATTAGTATATTTATTTGATTATAATATCTTACCGTTACAGCAAAAAATATAAATTATATTTTGCTTATATAATATAATTTCTCAAAAACAATCACATTTTTACTGCATATTTTAAGAGATATTAAAAACAAAACTAAAAATAAATTTAATGGTAAACATCTTTTGATCAGATAACTACAATTCTTTTAAAATATCATAACACTATGTAATTTAACAAGGTAGATATATTATATTTTAATAGTTAAAATAATATGTTTTGCGGTTGCTCAACAAAAAAAATTATATGTTTTCTTAATAACACTTTTGATGTTTAATTTTCTGTTTTTATGTATGTGGAATTTAATATAACCATAATCAAAATACTTAAGAAAATTATAATTCTTTATTTTAAAAATTATTTAAAACAAATTTTGAGTTTACCATCCAATCAATCCAAGGCATAAATTATTTAAAATTTCTAAAATATTTAATTATTGTAAATACTGATATGTTTTCATAAGCTTCTGAAATTTTATTATTACTTATGTATGTAATTTAGAATTAGACACTTTAGTTTTTATTTTTTTCGTTCTAAGCACAAAAAGTATTAAAATACATAATCTTACTAAGATATACTTATATTTCTAAGATAACAACCAACATAAATGTAAATAAAACAATTAATCAAAAATTTAAGATATTTAGAATAAAAAAGATTATAGTTGAATTCAGAGAAATAGATAGAATCCAATATATATATATATATATATATATATATATATATATATATATATATATATATATATATATATATCCAAATGATAAACTAATTAAATATAATATATCTAAAATTATATATAATTAAAAATATAATTATACATAAAAAACTATAAATTAATATAAAATTTAAAGTAAATATCAATCAACTATTATAATATATTTATTTTATAAATATTTATGCCCGTGCATGAGCACGGGAAAATCACCTAGTAAGTTAATAGGTTAATAGATTAACAGGTAAATTAACTAATAAATTAATGGATTAACACACTAAATAGGTTTATTGGGTTGGATCAACTCTGACCCATTTAATTTTTAATTAAGAAAAAAAGAAAAACCTTAAAATTGTGAAATCGATCTCGTCTTGTCACTCTATTCTCAACTCTTATCTTCACATGAGATACTAAAATATCATGTTATGAAACTTTGCTTTTCTGTTTCTTAAGTGTTTTGATGTTATGAAACTTTGTTTCTCTGTTTCTTAACTGTTCTAGAAAATATCAT